CGTAGCCCCCGCCGAGCGGCGCGGATGGCTGCGCCTTGCTGCCAGGCTGCGGCCCCGGGGAGGCGCCCGCCGCGCCCCAGCGCCTCGCCATGAACAGCCCGTACATCGCGCTGGAGCTGCTCATCGCCCTGCTGTCCATCGCGGGCAACGTGCTGGTGTGCTGGGCCGTGGCCACCAACCGCAAGCTGAAGACGGCCACCAACTACCTCCTGGTGTCGCTGGCCGTGGCCGACATCGGCGTGGGCGCGCTGGCCATCCCCTTCGCCATCACCATCAGCATCGGCTTCCGCGCCGACTTCCACAGCTGCCTCTTCCTGGCCTGCTTCGTGCTGGTGCTGACCCAGAGCTCCATCTTCAGCCTGCTGGCTGTGGCCGTGGACAGGTACCTGGCCATCAGGATCCCGCTCAGGTGAGGAGAGGAGAGGGGCACCCGGTGCCCCTGGGGCTGGGGGACGAGCGGGGCACGTGCTGGCTCTGGGGGTCCCGTCTGCCCTGCCCGCTGTCGCGGAGGGACAGGTCTGGCACAGGGCAGCTGGAGGGTCCTGCTGTGGCACGTAGGGCTGTAAAAGCCGAGGGGCTGTGGCTCGTAGCGATCCGGCGCCTCGTTTCGGCCCCCAAACAAGAGCCGAGCTGTTTGTGCGTGTCCATTTCTCAGCCAACAGCTGGATCGCGGCTGAAGCTGCCGCTTGCCGCACGAGTGAGGTTGCAAGTGGCCTTGCGTTGAGTCACCTTGGTCAGAGCTCAGGTCCCCTGGGCTCTAGCCCCAGCCCAGAGCGGCTGGAAAGGCCGCCCGCGCTGGGCAGAGCAGTGCTGCGAGCACTTGCATACGTGCGAGTTTACTAGAAAGACGCCATTGGAGTGGGGAGGAGATGCAAAAACGGGAACCCTGGAGCAGGTCTCTCCTTCCTCGTCGTCAGCAGGATTCCTCCAGTCAGAATGGGATCGTGTGAAAGAGAAACTGGTCGCAGGCTGTGTGGAGGGGCAGTGTCATGCGCTGGGCCAAAGGGCCTGGTGAGCGGAGTTCAAACGGTGCCACAGCTTCCTAGTGGCTGGAAAAGTGCCACCAAAGCCGGGTCCTAAGGTCGCAAGCGTAGCGAGCCTCGAGCTGCCACAGAGCTGGCGTGGCTGCACCTTAGCATGGGGGGAGTTGGCAGAGGCACATGCCCGGGGGGCTGGGGCTGCCCAGGAAGGGGGGCACCTCCGCCCAGCTGCATCGTTGCAGTTTATCCACCCAGGGCCGTGCTTTGGCGGCCAAGATTCCCATGACGATGCGGTGGCTTTGAAAGAGGCGAGCCCCGCCGGCCCTTTTCTGGTACACCAGAGCGTCTCAGTGCATTTGGCGCACGTGGGTTCCCCGTCAGGCAGGGCCGTGCGGCTGTAATGGGAGAGCGCGCGGGAGGGCAGTGCCGGCGAGATGCTGAACAGAACAGCCCGCAGCGCAGCGCGGCCCCTCGCCGGGACCGGACCTGCGGCGCCGGCGCTTTCAGGAGGACGACGGGCTTAGGGGGTTTCAGGGCCGCCAGCCTGCGTGAGCCTGGCTAATTGTTTACCTGCTACCTGCTGCAGGGTAATCGGAGGAAATTGCCTTTGGCTCAAGATAATGATTTATTGCCTATTCTGCGTATTTATTTCTCACTCCATGAAGTGGATCTGCCAGCTCCAGAGGGGCTAAAAGGCAGCTTGGCTTTTTTTTGGTCTGCCGTGCCATGAAGCCCACCCCCTCCCTGCGAGACGCGGCGGCGTGGGCCGTCCAGGAGCACTTCCTCGCCTCGGACCCTCACTTTTATGTTTGGCTGGAAGGGACGTGGCGGGGGGCGGGGATTCAGTTTCTGCCTGAGCAGAGGCGCAGCCAAGCAGGCGTTCACCTGCTGTGGACGGTATTTTTAACAGCTGGTAGGAAAGCAAATCGTCCCTCCCCTTTTCTCTCCTCCTCGATGGGCAGCTGGTTTGGTGGGACGGGGGTGGGTTTATGCTCCCACGCGGGATGCAACGGCCCCTTGTTTCCTGTTGGTCTCCGCCGCCGTCCTGTAAAACCGCGCATCACCTCTGCATGGACGTCTTTGTGACCGCGGGTCCCCTACGGCCCGGAGATGGGAGCCAGGGTTGTTTTCCTGCTCCTGGCAGCAGCGCGGGGCGCGGCGGGATCTCTGTCTGTGCACGCAGGCGTGTCCGTGGGCAGGCGTGTGCAGGGATTTAGAGTCCGTGCTGTACTTTGGAAAGCGGGGAGCAGCCTTCCCGTCACAGGGCCCCGCAGCGGTCACCCTCGCAGGGGTGTCCCCGGATGCAGGGCGCACGCAGGCACCTTGCCAGTGCCACGCTGCCACTTCGGGGACTGCTGTCCCTGCCGGCTTGGGCGTGGAAGTACGTGGAGGCCTGGCAGCTGAAGGCAGCGTTGGTTGGCAAACCCTGGTAGGGAGGAGGTGCGAGGCTCCCTCCTGCTTCCGCCTGGCTGCGGCCCTAGGATAATCCGGGTCCCGACTTGCCCGACTGGCTGCTCGAGTTCAGCCCATCTGCTGTTTCTCTAAGGAGGCTGGAGACGAGGACGGAGAAAGCTAGAGAGGAAAGTGCAGGCGACGCGCGGGCTTTGTGAAGGGCGCCTGGCGGGCGCTGGGCAGTCTTTGCTGCCAGGGAAGCGCTTTGCCTGCAGCTGCGGGGCTGGGGGTTTGTCTCTCTTGTGCAGCTGTCAGAGGGCCGGTGTCAAGCAAGCTCCGCGCCCTCCCTCCAGCGCCTGGGCTGACAAGTCAGGGCAAAGGCACAGTGCCACCAAAATCGAGCTGGCTTTTTGGGGTGAAACAACAGAAACGCTAAACCCCGGCTCTAGCTTCGGCTCCACGTGGAGCGAGCGGCTTCGTTTACCTCGGGCTGGGCTTAACCCTCGTTTCCTTTCTGACGTGTCTCCAGAAACGCCCGGCCCACATGCCGCCCGTAGTGTCCCAACCTCCGGGGCTTCCTGTGGCTGAATTGCGTGGGGGAAGAAACCCAGCGTTTCCTCCCGACGGCTTTGACTCTCCAGCCTCCTCGCTGCTCCGCCCGTCCTGAGCGACTCGGGCAGGGCAGGAGCCCGTCTCCCTTCTCCCGTCTGCTCTGACCGAGCCCTGTGCCCCGCGGCCTGCCCTCGCCCGTGCTGCCCGCAGCGTGGTCAGGCCCCGCGGGAGCGGTGAGCGTGGCGTGTGTGGGAGCAGGGGGGAAGTGCAGTTGCAAAGCGATGGAGCTGCAGTTTGTCAGAGGAAGTTGATGCCATCCGGCTGCACGTGGCGGGGGAGGCAGGGTGGCAGCGCTCCGGTCTGCGGTCAGAGCATGGACATCGGGTGCCAGGCAGCGTCCCCTCTTTGAGTCACCGTGCCGCCCATTCACAGCTGTGCGGGAATCACGCGGGCTGCGGCGTGATACCTGCGGGAAGACGACCGGGCTTTGCCGTTCTGCCGTGCGGGGAGTCGGTTTTGATGCCTCAGAAACAGACGTTTCTCCAGCTTCTCTGGCAAGGCAAAGACGTGGCGAGCGCGGTCAAGGGACGAGCCACGGGCTGCGTGCCAGGCGCTGCCAGCTGGGGTCTGCGGCCCCTCAAACCTCTTCTCCCCAGAGTGCAGGTCTGGTCTTAGATGGCAACCGCCCGCTCCTGCCATGAAGGGCAGAGTTGTTTGCAAAGACATTTCAAAAGCACCAGGTGTTCTTTTTTCAAAGGACTGTGCCCCCTTTTTTGCCCAAAACTATTGGCCACGTTCAGTCCTGGTCCCACCGCAGCTGCACAGAGCTGAATCCCCCGTCCCTGCTCTACCCAGGCCTCTTTATACACCCAGCTCAGGCAGGCCCTGTGCTGCCCACCAGCCCTTCCAGGCACCGCAGCCCTGGACTCAGGGTGCAGCAGGCAGCTCTGGCCTGTGAGCTGTCAGGAATTAGCGGCGCCAGCTGTGCCTCCAGATGTGCTGCCCTGAAGCCACTGGCAGGCTCGGGGGACTGGCACGTGCTGCTGATAATCCTCGCGGTGATGTTGCCGCCGAGCCTCCGCAGCCCCCCGCCCATCCGTGTGTGCTGCGCTGTGCCGCAGGGCGGAGGCCAGGGCTGTGCTGCGTGTGCAGGCACGGGGGGTGTTGCCTCTCCGGGTGCAGAGGGCGAGCGTGTCGGGGCAGGCTGCATCTGCCTTTGCCAGCACGGAGGCTTGGAGCTGCTCCTTTCCACGAGGGAGGCTGTGCATGCCACGTCTCTGCAGCCTGGGGCCACATGGCTGGTTCTGGCCACTCTTTGGCTTCTGGGCTCTCCCAGGTCCATCCACTGTGCTGCCCTCTGCTACCCATGGGCATCTCGCAGAGGACAGGGGGCTGCAGGGAAAAAGCCCCAGGTCCAGCTTGCAAGCTCCAAATGACCGCCCTGGTGCTCGTGGGCAGGCAACCCCAGCAGGGCTGGGAGCCCGGTGCGAAGGGCACAGTAGGTGGGATCAGTGTGGCGCTGGGGGAGCGCCCCTTTGGGCTCCCCCTGGGTCCCTGCTCCTTGTGCTTGTGCAGCCCCTAGCACGGGGATCCCCGCCACGCCACAAAGACCAGCTGAGCGGGAGGTGCCATGCGCTGAGCGGCTCAGCTCAGCTCAGCTCCCCTCACCTGGTAGCATGGGCCCGCGACGCGCCGTTCACCAGCTGGGCCGTGTGGGCTCTGCCCTGCGCTAACTCGCCCTTATTTACTCAGCAGTTGAGCTCCGAGGCCTCAGGCCGGTGTCGTCATCGGGCATAATTCAGGCTCTGGCAGGGCCGAGGGTACGTGCTCCACGAGCAGGAGCCGGACAGGGCAGAGGGGCAGACGGGAGCTGAAATGGGAACATGGAAACACGTGCTGGGGGGACAGGAGCTGGGGGGTCGCGGATGCTGGAAGGGAGCAGCGCCGGAGGCGGATGCGAGATGGGGGAGCCGGTCTGGCCATGCCCAGACGAGGGGCCTCTGGGGTGAGAGATGGGGCGGCTCCTCCAGAGAGCACCCGGGCAGATGCCGCAGCCCTGGAGCGCCGTCCCACCGCGTGCCCCAGTTTGGACTGGGGCCTCCAGCTTGTCCAGAGCCCCCAGGCTGCAGGGTCGCCGCGGGAGCCCGTGCCAGAGATGACTCAGTTCCTGCTGGTTGGGAGCCAGCTTTCTGGCTCTTGCACCAGCGCGGCTGGATTACTGACTGCTGGCCCCGCACCCTTGCCTCCCCCAGCCGGGCTCAGCAGAGCCGCCCCACAACGGCCAGCTGGCCCCCGGCCAAGGCAGCAGCGAATGTGAGCGCAAACAGCGATGGCGAAGGAGTGATGGTTGCGGCTGGGCCCCGGGCACTTGCTGGTGCTGCCTTGGGCGCCTCTGCTTTTTCACCGGAGCGTCACACCTCAGGTGCGCACCCCGCGCCGGCTGCCTGGTGCTTGGGCAGGACTAGGCCGAGGTGCAGAGTCCCCGTCTGTGACCCTCTGCTTCCAGCCCAGCATCCCGGCTCCAGCACGGGCAGGAGGGAGAGCACCGGCTCAGGTGCATCTTGAGGGCTTCCTGCCCTGCTCATTACCTTCCCTGGCCTCCACGAGCTCTGGGTTAGCGGTGTCCGGGTGCTGCCCGTTCTGCTCTTCATGGATCTGTTGCCCATGACTTTGGCTGGGCAGCAGCAGCAGCAGGGCCAGGTTGACAAAGGGCCCAACAGGGTTTTAAAATATATCTGGGCCCCTACGTTGTCGACGCCGCGGGGAAGCCAGAGGTTTGGGGGGTGAGAGGTCGGCCCTGTTCAAGGCAGTGTCAGCTGGCGCCTGGCAGCACTGGGCTCAGGCTCGGTGGCACGTGCAGGCTGGCTCCTGTGGGCTTTGCAGGGTGAGGGTGGGCAGGGGGTAGCTGTTTCCTTGCCCATTCAGCTGAGGCCGTCAGCGCTGGGACCGCATTGCTCACCACAGCTGTGCTCTTCTCGGCCCCCAGGTACAAGAGCCTGGTGACGGGGAAGCGGGCACGAGGCATCATCGCCGTGCTCTGGCTCCTGTCGTTTGCCATCGGGCTGATCCCACTGATGGGCTGGAACAACGCCATGGGTGGCTGCCCCAACACGACCAATGCGTCGGCGGCGGCCAGGGAGAGCCGCAAGCCCTGCCAGGTCTTCTGCCTGTTTGAGAACGTGGTCACCATGAGCTACATGGTTTACTTCAACTTCTTCGGCTGCGTGCTGCTCCCTCTTGCCATCATGCTGGGCATCTACATCAAGATTTTCATGGTGGCCTGCAAGCAGCTGCGGCAGATGGAGCTGATGGGCCACTCCCGGGCCACCCTGCAGCGGGAAGTGCACGCGGCCAAGTCCCTGGCCATCATCATGGGGCTCTTTGCCTTCTGTTGGCTGCCCCTGCACATCCTGAACTGCCTCACCTACTTCAAGGGCTTCAGCCACAGCAGGCCCGAGTGGGTCATGTACACAGCCATCGTCCTGTCGCACACCAACTCCGTCGTCAACCCCGTCATCTATGCCTACCGCATCCAGGACTTCCGCTGCACCTTCCGCAAGATCCTCTCCCAGGTGCTTTGCAAGGCGGACAATGGCCCCAAGTGCCCGAACGGCCACAGCCAGCACCTGACGGTCAGCAGCATCATCAGTGCCACCCCCACGTACGTTTGACCTGACCCGTCCCGGGCCTTGACGGCCTGGTCCTGGGAGCAAGGATGCTTGGCTCCCCGAGAGGAGTCGCGCTAGGAGCCGTGTGCATTTGTACTGGTTTTTATGTGAATTTTTCTATGACCACAGTGCCTCGTAGAGGGAGGATGTGACTGGGGCCTCTGCATGGCTCACCCTGGAGGATGCCTGGGGTGTGGGGTTGGGACTGGGCGCTATCTCCTGCCCAGTCAGAGATTGGACCTGAACCCCCGCCCTCCCAATGCAGGCTCCCCTCATCATGCTGCTCGTCTCCACCCTTAATTTTATTTTCCTCCCCCGTCTCCTTCCTGTAACGATCCCAGTTACTCAGGGCAGTGTGGCCCTGACGGCATGTTAGTCTGATCCTGGTTGGGTTTTTTTTCTTCCATCAATTGTTTGATGCAGCTTGTATTCTCCCATGGGAAATCCTCTTCCTGTCACCCAGTTGCTGGTGTGACCCAAAGCTGTGTGCCAGGCTCCGGAGGAGCAGGCCGTGAGCGGGAGGCCACTCGGGGCAGAGCTGGCGTCGCTCCTGTGGGGATGTCAGAGGAGAGAGGGGCTGGGATGGCAGGAAGGTGCCGCTTCCTCAACCTCCTCAGCTCCCCCATTCCCGGTGCGATATCCTGCCCTGGCAGTGGCTATAGGACTGGGTAGGGCCCCTCTGAATCTCACTGGGCAAGGCTCTGTGTTCAAGCCCTGCAGCCAGCATGGGCCAAAGCCCAGCTGCTGTTCTGAGGCTGCCCGGGGAGTCCAGGCGGTTGCGGATGCCTTTGCCCTTGCGCGGGTGTTGTTGATCCGCTGTGTAAATGGCTCAGATATTCCCAGCAGGGAGTCAGCAGCCGGAGACGCTGCTGAAGCAGGCACCCCAGTGCCCGCCTGACTCCGTGCAGCAGGCCCATGTCACGGCCAGCGCTGTAACTCAGTGTCCAGCTCGTCCCCGGTCACTGCACGCGGTGTGTCTCATCCATGTCTGAGCCCTGTTTGGTCTGTGCATGGCGCACGCAACTGGATAAAGGTGGGAAGAACCAGGTCCTTTGCAGCCGTGTCAGCTCTGTGAAGCATTTGCGTGTTTTCGGACGTCGGGCTCTGGGGTTGAGGAATGGGCTGTGGGGGCGCTGGTCCCCCAGCAGGGCAGGCATTGGGGATTGGGGTCCTGGGCGAAGTGGCAGCAGGTGGCTCTGAGCCTCCCGGCCACTGCAGCACGGCCCTGCCCAGCCAGAAGGCCGAGCTCAGGGGACGGATCCCGGGTGCGGAGATGGAGCCGAGCAGCAGCCTCGCACCTGCCCCGCAGGCTCCCCACTCGGCTCCTGCCGGCTGGCTGTGCCTTTTGCTGCTGCCATTTCCCAGGCACGGGCCACAGGGCAAAGGTCTCATGTCTCCAGTTCCCAGCTGGTCTCTGCTGCAGGAGCCTTGCTCATGGTTTAGTCCCCATCTGTGACCTTCTAGGCAGGGTTCGGTGCTTTTATCTCAGTCTCTTGTGTGTTTGCTCTCGCTGGCTGCATCCTTCGTGTTCATTGTGATCTCAAAGCAGCTGCCCTCGCTGCACCTCAATTTGTGAGAGCACACAACCAAGTGCCACAGCAGAGCCAGGGCCCAAAAGCAAAGGGCTGGGCTTCCCTTTCTCTGTACCTCTTATGGGCCATGAGGGCTGGAGAGCGCCCTGCCATTGGCTGCTGTGGCCACTGCCCTGGTGTGGACATGCTTCTGGGCTCCTTTCAGTTAGTGGCAGAGGTCCAGTGTGGGGCCAGCCCCAAGGTCATCAAAAGCAAAATGCAAACGGGCAGATTCTGAGCCCTGACGAGGCCCTTCAAAAAATCTGTCAATGCAAGTGAAAAGGGCAGAGGCAGTGCTGGGCACCACTTCCCGCATGGGGCTGGGCAGGTGGGATGCGCACCCATCTCCACGTTACCAGGTTTGGAGCTACGGGAATGCTGCTGTTTGCATGCAGGACCCACAGCTGCTGCCACGGGCTGAGCCTGGGCCAGGTTGCTGCTGCAGCAAGGGGGGTGTTGTACAAGGGGGACATGCACACCCGCGATTCCTGCTGTGCCAGGGTGGGTCTGGCTTGTTGCACCGTGCATGGCCTGGAAGGTCAGGTCATTTCTCTTCCCCCACTGGGTAACGTGGGGCAGAGCAAGCCAGGCCCAGCTTGGAGCGCAAGTGCCCCCAGCTGTCCCGCTGCCAATACCCAGTGGTACCAGAACCACAACCCAATCGCAGCGCCCCAGGGTGGACGCTGGGGCCTGGGAAGACAGACAGGGTTACCTGGTTCTGGCAGCACTAGGCTGTTCCTGAAGCCCAGCCCTCCCTCCAGGGCCCCCAGCGGGGTTTCTCCCAGGTGCAGCAAAGCTGGCAGCCCCTCACAGCTTTGCGCTGCCAGTGCAGCAGGGCTTGGCTGTAGCCACACACGCCACGTGCCCTGGGCCTCACCCTGCAGCATCTGCCGCTGAGAACCGGGCTGCCAAAGGTCTCCAAGGAGCCCTGCCCTGCCCTGCTTCAAGGGCTGACCCAGGCACGGCACACAGCACCCATGGGTGTGGAGTGTGGCAGCCTGGCCCGGGGCAACTGCTGTTTCTGCCGTATCCCAGCCCCCACCCCAGCAGCAGCAGGCAAAGGTGCTGATGCCACCAGGATCTCAGCCAGCACACAGGCTCCTCAGGTAGGTTTATTAACAGTGCGACTAGCACCTGGGCCCGGGCGGGTGGGCTGACTGCTGTGCTGCCAGCCCGGCTCCAATTCCAGAGGAGAACTGGCAGCCTTGGTACGTGCTTGCTCAGTTTAGGGGGCCAGGCACCTCACGTGCATGTGCCACCGGGACCACAGGTGCTTGCAGGTGGGTGTTAGCACACAGAGTGGGTCGTTCATCCATCCTTGTCTTCCTCCGCCAGAAGGATGTTTGCCAGCTGTTGGTCGGATACAGCAAGCTCCTGGCAGGCGCCGGTGGCCTGGCTGAGGTAGACAGCGAGGATGTGCTTGCACTGGGGGGTGGAAAGTTTGAGCAGATGAACAGCAGGGACGGCAGCGGGGCCCTCCTGCACTTGGCTTGTCTGGGATCAAACAGGTCCCTGCTGCTGCCCCTGGTTCCTGCTCTACTCCTGGCACTGGCCCCACTCCAGCTGCATCCCAGTCTTTCACTGATCCCATGTTTGCAGCCGGAGCACTGGGGCTCCCCGCAATGCCCCTGTGAGCTGCTTGGCTCCCACCTCCATGCAGAGCCCACGTCCACCCCCGCACACGGGCTCCTCACCAGCAGGCTGTCGGTCTTGCGCAGCACGGAGAAGGCAAAGGCTGGGCACGTGCAGAAGTGACAGGCGGCGTAGCAGGTGTAAAGCCTGCCTGAGCTCCCCAGCACCTGGAACACAGGCGGCCACCCAGGCCGGGGTCAGGAGCAGGCCACATCCCCAGCCCCATCCTGCAGCCGAGTGAGGTCAGGCAAGGCCAGGTCACCCTTGCAGGGGACACCTAGTGCCCAGCCCTCCCCCTCTCACCGCCACCTCTGCTGTGCTGCCCCTGGCATGTCCTATTTGACTCCATGAGCACAAGCCATGGGCAAACAGGGCTCCAGGTCCCTTCTTGAGGACCCCCTGATCCCTCCCAGTGCTGGAGCTGACCCCACGGCAGGAAACAGCTCCCCAGCCTCTGTGCACTCCTCCACTTGGGCTGCCTGGAGCACCGGGTGCTCCCTTCTCCCACACAGAGGCAAGCACTCCAGTGGCTTGGCGGCTGCTTTGCTGGTGGTACCCATCATGTCTCCTACACTGGGCCCTGGGGGGGCCAGGAGTGGCATCAGCTGGGTGGCTGAGACAACCCCTTAGACCTGCCAGGCAGAGGCACTCCCAGAAGTGGGACAGACGCAGCCCGCAAGGGGGCTAGCGGCTCAGACACTGGGGCTCTGGCCATCTTGTTAGCACAAGCTGCTGCAGCTGCTTGGAGTCTGCTCCAGTGGTGCAGAGAGAGCTTGCACTTCCTGCGAGGGGCCTGGCAGCTCCGTTTCTGTCCTGGGGACACTGTGGGCAGGCTGACATGGCCTGTTCTTACAGCCCGGGCTGGGGAGGCAGCGGGGAGCTCCGTCCCTCACGGCTGTGGCCAGAGGAGGTTTCCACGCTGCTCAGCCTGCAGCAGCATTAGCTAGAGGCCTCTCGTATCTACCGTGAGGAGGCTGGACTTGATGCCAGGCCTGCCCAACCCCATGCCCTGTTGACCAAACGTTCCAGAGACGAACAGGGCTCCTCTCTATTTCTGCTAGAAGCCAAGTGCCCAGGTTACTCAGAGCCCCGCTGCAAGGACGATCTGAGGGAGCAGTGCATGTCCTTGTCCAGCATGGCCAGGGCTACGCGAGCAGACAGCGACCAACACATGCTGGAGAGCCTAAGCAGGATGAGGAGCAGGCGTGGTTCATACCTGGTACGCTGCCCGTCCGCTGGGGGACACGACGCGGGTCACCGAGCGCCGGTCCACCAGGTCCAAGGCTGGGACAGCAATTGGGCCAAACACAAACTTGAGCCTGGGAGAGGAGCCGGTGGGTTAGGGCACGGTGCAGGCAGTGTGGATGTGCCATCCCCCAGCCTGCTGCTGCCCCAGTCAGGTGGTGGCCACCTTCCCCCCACCCCGTGCGCCTGGAGACATCTGAGCTACGGGCCACAGCTGCTGGGACTTGAGACTTCCCAAGCCAATGGTCAGGCTAAGAAATGACTAGAACGTGAGTCTCTCCCAGCGAGGCTGCTTTGCACTGTCCCTGCTGTGACAGCAAGGCCCTCAAAGCAGGACAGAGACCACAGCCCTCCCACTGCATGTTTATGGCCTTTATCTGCAGATAGATAGCTGCCATACCTGCTGGGAGTCACGTAGGGATACCTGATAACCTGCTTGTGGGGGCTGGACACCTGAACCTGGCACCTATTGTCCAGGCAGCTCCTAGGCTTAGGTGTGCTGCTAGACGTGCTCTTCCTGCCTGCCTGGGAACCCGTTCC